CGTGTGGGGGCTCGGCCCAGACCCTCCGTTCGGGCCGCCCCCTCCCCACAGCACCCCCAGCCCTACCTCGCTGTGGCTCTCGCCAGAGCTGGGGGACACGGCCAGTGGCCTGGGGCTGGACGGGCTCTCTGACACCGAGTTGGACCGTGGCTCTCCACCATTTTCCTGGGAGAGGGGAGCAGGGAGCCAAGAGTGAGCAGGGCTGCTCCCACCAGGGACTTTGGGAACAGCTCCGAGTTGTGAGTCCCACGCAGGGGGCCGTGAAATCCATCTTCCCCACACGTAATCCCCTGCGAGCTCCAGGCTCATAAATACCTCCAGCGTGGCCCATCCAGGGTAGGGAAGGATTAAGCCCCAGCCTGACTGCCCTGGCTTTAGCAGGAGGAGGAGGAGGGTGGCTGCAGGGCTGGATGCTACTTCCCTGCAGCAGCACGAGGGCTCAGCCCTGCAGTATGATGAGGGTGGAGGAGGAAGAGGAAGGCAGGCACTGCAGCCACCTCCACGACAGCCCTGGATGAAAACCCCTTCCTGGGGGGCACCAGCTCCCCATCCCCTTCCCAGTGGCACCCACTCTTGTGTGGCAGCCTGGGAGCATCATATACCAATGAGTGGAAGGCTATGGGGGGACAACTAAACGGGTTGGGTCTCTGCCTGGAGACTGGTGTAGATGGGATTAAAAGCAAGATGAGGTTTCTCTTACCTTCCCTATATCACCATTGGCAACTGGTTCTGGCAAGGGACCTGCAGGGTGAGGACACGGGCACTGGGTGAGGATGTGTTTCTCTGCCCCCTCACCAACGGGCACAGCGGTGACCAGCAAAGGCTGCCTGTGGCCAGCACTAGCCCAACACTGCCCAGGGTCTGGTTGGGTCCTGAATTTAACCTCCCTCTTGCAGTCAGCCCCACAGCACCAGGGATGCTGCCAGGCACTAGATACATCTCCATGATGACAGCCACAACATGGGAGCCCAATGAGACACCCCCCCATCCTCCTGTGGACCACCATGACAGCAGGGAGAGGGCCGAGCAGAGCAAAGGGCAGCTGCTGCCAGTTTGCTCCCCAAACCATAACCCCTGGCAAAGTGCAACCCAGGGCCATAAACACACCTCCCCACAGAGGCCACCGCCCCAGCTCGGGACTCTCAGCCAGGGTAAGGAGATGCCAAAGCCAGGTGACCCTGCTTGGCTCCAGCATGATGAGACCTCCACCTTGCAGGGCTCAAGGACTCCCCCAGCACCCCCAGGTTTTGTGATAAGGTGACACAGAGCAGTCAGAGGTGGCACAAGCCCCTCTCCCTGCAGCGCAGTCCCCAGCCCACCTGTCAGGTGCTCCTCCGAGGGCACCACCTTGCACTTCTTGAAGAACTCATCCGTGAGGACATCCACCACCAGCAGCCTGGTCTCGTCGCCGCCCGCCTTGATGGCGGCCACCACATCAGCGTGCTGCTTGCCCTCCACGCACACCCCGTTCACCTGCGGGCAGGGCACCGTGTCACCCCTGGGGCCAGGGGACATCTGTCCCTCGGGAGCTCTGCGGAGGGGCTGGGCACCAGCCTCGGTACCAGCCACAGGCCCAGCACGGCCACCTCGCAGCCCCCGCAGGGATCCACAGCCTCCCGGGGATTAGCGCCGAAGCCAGGAAAACCTCATTAAAAGCAGATTTTCCTCTGAGTGATTAACATGGGATCACACGGGCAAAGCTGGCAGGGAGCACCCAGCAGGGCACGGACCTGGGGCTGGTGCAGGAGCTGGGCAGCACGGGCAAGGCACAGCCCCCAGAGACCCCAAAAGAGGCAGCAGCTCCACGCCCTGATGAGCAGCAGGGTCAGACCTCTGCCGGTCCTTGCCCTCATGGATCACCATCCCTCTTGGCACAATCTGTCCCCATCCCCACCCCATTCAGGGCCAGCATTCAGGGCTTGGGGCTGTGGTGCACCTTGTCCTCAGCCTGCCCCACCCCAGGGACACTCCTGCTGCAGGCAGGGGACAGCGCTGCTGCTGCTGCTTAACCCACAACGGGCTCATCCACGCTCAGCCCCAGCCCTCTCCAGCGCTGCTCCCTGGGTGGGGACTGGCAGGGTGGCACGGGTTGGGCGGCTGCCCGTGAGTCACCATGGACACTGCACACCATCCCAGGGCTGGATGGCTCCCTCCCAGGCACCGGGATGCCAGGAAGCACCCAGCTT